CCCACCCGGGAGCACGCCCAGCAGCCCAGGCCTGGAGAGAACGCCGGGGGCGGGGGCTGCTGGGGGAGGAGGCCGGGGGCTCGGAGCACAGGGGAGAGCCACTGGAGTGCAGAGGGATGTGTGCATCCTCCACAGTCAGCACTATTTTTCAATATTTTGATTCCTATTTTAAACCTTTTTATACATGATCCTAATTTCAAGTTGCTCCAAATTTTTCTTTGAAAATGAGACGTTTACAATAAAAGTCTGAAGGATGCTCCCAAGACCCCACGTGGCAGACAAGCCACGCACGTTTAGTCTGGCTTTACAATCCACTCACTCGCTGGTTTGTTCAGCGACGGAGCACGCTTCTGTCAGGCGTCGCACAAGGCTCCGGGCGTAGCGCTGATTAAGACAGAGTCCCTCCGGGAGCTCACAGTCCATGGTAACCCGAGTGAGCTGAGGCACAGGGCGGTACGTGATTTACCAGTGAGGTAGACATAGCTGGGTACTTGGAAAAGGGGCTGGAGCAGGAGAGAGGGCAGGGGACAACTGATGCCTGAATGCTCCCCTCTGAGCGAGGAGCAAGGCTGCACACAGACATCGCAAACCTGCTGGCAAAAAGCTTAGGACAACTTCCAGCTGTCACCGTCACTGAATTCCTGCCTCACACTCTTTAAGCCACTACCTGATGGCATCTCCACACTTGACCCTGAAGGTGTGAGGCATGCCACCTGTCTGCTCAGACAGTAGCTGTAGGTCACCTGGACCCCATTCCACCACTGGGAATCATACTGAAAGTCTTTAATCAAACCCATGATCTTTAAGTTCAGAAGATGCTAATAAGTTACAGATACCACAGCAGTTAGAGGATCTGTTAATTTCCATATATACATGATTTTGGCTATACAACGGCGAAGAGACCCACGGAGACACACATAAGCGACCTAAGCACTATACAGATATATACAGACATCACACTGAGATGGCGTGTGCACGCCCACCCACTGCGCAGCAGCTAATGCAGACGTGAACTCGCGTAAGGCAACTGCTTTTGTGATGACGATACATGATCCTTGAAGGGAGGGCAGAGTCCACGCAGGACTGACCGTTTTGGGTTAGTGATACTCTTTGTGGAAGGCAGAATATCTAGTTCACTGACAAAAAGCAGTGAGTTAGAAGAAGAGTTGCTTCTGAATGTGGAAACCATAACCATCCCGGAATCTAAGCAGTGAGCCACTCAAAGACACTACTGGCCTTGTGCCACGGACCGAGGGGGGCCTTCACAGTGACCGATCGCTGACGATCAAACTCGATGCGTAATCACCACGCGACGCTCCAAAGCCACTCAACACACGGGGCTCAAATCCCGTCAGTCACTCACTTCACTTTGCTGTGGAGCATTTTCTTCTGAAAAACAACAAACACAAGAAATTCTTCTAATGAGGGTTTCAAAAGCAACCAGGTAACAGCACACATTCAACGGCAGAAAAGACGCAGAGCCCTGGTCAGGCGCCACGCCACGTGAACGGCCCGAGGCTGACGTTCGGTCACAAGAACACACTGGAAGGCAAACACATACCCGAGAGCACCCGCCCAGACTGGACGGCCGTCCCCAGCCACAGACCTCCCCAGCCGGTCCACACGGGGCACCGCGATCCCAAGGTCTTACTCTCATCGAAACCACACGGAAGTTAACTGTCAGGTTCGAGTGCGTTCTCCCAGGCAGTGGGTTGCTTTCATTTTGCTGACAGTTTCCTTCGCTGTGCAAAACTTTTTAGTTTGATGTAGTCCCATTTGTTTGTTTCTTTCGTTTCCTTCCCCCAAGAAGACAGATCAGAAAAAGTACTGCAGTGTGAAATGTCTGAGATTTTACTGCCTAGGTTTTCTTGTAGGATTTTTATGGGTGAGTCTAACATTCTCCCAACACCCTTTACCGAAGAGACTATCTTTACCCCATTGTGTGTTCTTGCCCCCTTGTCACATTTTTTAAAAAATATGTATATTTTTATTGATTTCAGAAAGGAAGGGAGACAGAAACACCAATGATGAGAGAGAATCATTGATTGGCTGCCTCCTGCACGCCCCCTACTGGGGATCGAGCCCACAACCAAGGTACATGCTCTTGACAGGAATCGAACCTGGGACCCTTCAGTCCGCAGGCTGATGCTCTAGCCACTGAGCCAAACTGGCTAGGGCTCCCTTGTCAAATACTGATTGACCATGAAGGTGTGGCTTTACTTCTGGGCTCTCTGTTCTGTTCTGCTGACCTATGTTTTCTCTGCCAGTCCCAGGCTGTTTTGATTACTGTGGCCCTGATGTCATACCACCAGATACCAAGTCGTGCGATTCCTCCAACTTTGTTCTTTCTCAAGATTGCTGTACCTGTTCAGGGTCTTTTTTGCGTTGAATCTACAGACTGCTTTGGGTAGTACTGCATTGTAATGATGTCAATTCTTACCCATGAACACAGTATATGCTTCCACTTATTTGTATCCTCAATTTTTTTTCCAGAAACCTCTATAATTTTATTAAGCAACGTCACCCAGTACATTTTTAAAAGTATTATACAACTTAAAAATCACGAGGACCTGACATTTCCCGAGACCAGAAAAGCGGCGTTTACCTTGGTCAGGTGTTTCTGAGTGTTTGCTTTTCTTAGACGCCGAGGGTCCTGCCCCGTCCGAGCCCTTCCTGCCGGAGCGCCCCTGCTCCACTTCACACAAGTAGACGTCGATGGGCCCCTTGGTGCTCCGTATGTGCACCGTGATGGAGTCCTGGCAAAGACACGCAAGCGTCAGCGTCAGCCGCGGGTTCCGAACTGTGTCTGTTGCTCACTGGACAGAACTGCGGGTTCCAAGGGACGTTTCTAAACATGTAAATCCAGAGCATTTCCTTTCCATGTTTGAGAAGACAATGTACTAAGCTTTTGTGACATTAAAAACAGCTCCTTGACCACAGAATGATGGTTCCAGAACCATCGCGCACTGATGGGAACGCCTCAGTCCTCAAGAGCCCACTTTCTTCCCCTCGGGGTTGACTGACCCCTTCAAGGAATCTGTACGTGAGCCAAAACCCAGTGTCCGACGACAGACAAACCGAGACTCCCCTCTGGTCTCTGGTGACCTCGGTGTGTTTCGATTTCCAGACCACGAAAGAGCTAACTGCAAGACCATTCTTAGTCCACATGAAAAAGAAGCTGAGATCAAGACAAAATCTACCTCCTGTAATTTAAGCCGCTGGAACCCATGAGCATCAGGAAGTTGGGAGCTTCTACAGAGAATTATGCTATGTTCTAAGGAACAGCTCCAGTTAGAAACGTGTCCCTTGTTCTGACTGGGAGTGGGTTCGACCGTCAGCCTTTCTCCTCCCGTCCGCGCGGTGGGCCCGGGCTGGGTACCACGGCAGCACTGCCCCTGCTGCACAGCCCAGTGAGAGGCCTCAGGACCCCGTGCCGCCCTTCCTACAGCCTCCTGGGGCCACAGGTAGCTGGAGAGCATCTGCACCCCTTTGGACAGTGCCTGCTGGGGACAAGGAAGGTGGGTGTCCAGTCCCCCTCCCTTGGGGAGGTAAATCCCTACAGCATCACTGAGCACCCCTGGGTTGACCAGCCTGTCAGAGCCGACCATCTGTCCCAGGAATGGCCACACTCCTTGGTCTGACTCCATCCTTACCAAGCAACGTCTGATGACAATTACCTTTCAATACTAACGTCGCTGCAGGGGGAAGAGTGTGCTGAGCACTGCAGCTTGGTAAGAGTAATATTTTCACTCACAGGGCAACTGCACTTTTCACTGTTACTGTAGGACGTAATATTCTAGTTTCCTCAGCAGTCTTTTCTGAGCTGGGTTAGTGAATTAATCCCCTAGAGCAGTGGTCGGCAAACTCATTAGTCAACAGAGCCAAAGGTCAACAGGACAACGATTGAGATTTCTTTTGAGAGCCAAATTTTTTAAACTTAAACTATATAGGTAGGTACACTGCTATTAACTTAATTAGGGTCCTCCTAAGGCTTAGGAAGAGCCACACTCAAGGGGCCAAAGAGCCGCATGTGGCTCGCGAGCCGCAGTTTGCTGACCACGGCCCTAGCACCTTGGCTGACACCAGATTTCCTTCTGGAACTTCAGGACTTCAGCCAATTCCTGGTGATTCCTCCAAGGGGCTGTTAGCCCAACAGTTGAGAAGACAAACCCTCAGGGTTGAAGTCTGGTTCTGTTTCTCACCCTGTGACCGTGAGCAAGTTCACTAATCTTCTATGCTTAGGTTCCGCGTGTTGAGCTTGTTGTGTGATTTAAGTGAAAATGTGCACAGGGCCTTGAGCAGGACCAGTGTGCCTGCGAGGGTCACACAGTCAGGGAGGCTGCCAAGCAGCCGCTGCCCCCCCACCCCCCGAAGGCTCCCTACAAATGCAGGTCACCTACTTCTCTGGGGGCTGGGACGTCCAGTCTGGTCTCCGCCGGAGCTCTCACCGCGATGACGATCTGCTCGTGGAAGGCTCGGATGCTGTGGATGTCTTGGTACGTCACATACGCGAGCGTAAACCAGTCAAGGATCTGCAGAGGTCTGCTCTGTGGGGAGGTAACTCGGCTCTTGTCATACAGGAATGCGAGTGGAATGTCAGAATATGACCAGCAATTAAGGGGGGCAGTTGGTAAAAACACTTCCACACATAATTCATATTTCATGTCTCAGTGTTTTACATTTATAACTCAATTTAAGAGTTCCTTTAAACTGTACTATTGTGATTATGATGACAATTTCTGGAGAAAAATATTAATAAAGTCTGAATTCCCAAGACAAACACAACTGATAAAGGTATCACGTGCACCCACCCAACTCCATTCCCTCCTCACTGCTAGCACTCACGCTAAGAACCTCTGGTGGGAAAATGTTCAGAGTTTAAGGGATAAGAAACCTTAAAATTGAAGTGGAAAAAAATCTCTAAAAAGTAGAAACATCCCAGCTGGCGTGGCTCAGCTGTTGTCAACCTATGAACCAGGAGGTCACGGTTCAATTCAGGTCAGGGCACATGCCCGGATGCATGCAGGAGGCAGCCGATCAAGGATTCTCTCTCATCACTGATGCTTCTATCTTTCTCTCCCTGTCCCTTCCTCTCTGAAATCAATAAAATAAACTTTAAAAAAAAGTAGAATCAACTTAGAGAATTTGGTTTTTCAGGATTATCACCTAAATGGGATTTCTCGTCCAACTACCTAAATTTTTGTACTTGGTTGCTGGGTTGAGTAAAATTATAACAACTGCGCGTTTTATTGGGTCACCAGCATTCTTTTTTACTCCACAGACCTCCTGACTGAGTGCAGTGATGTTGGCAATGGCTTTCCTGTTAACAGCGACTGGAACAGCAGCCTGGACTGCTGTCACGTTTACATAAACTGGAAGCACAGAAAGCTCGGAGTCGGTAACAGCTCCCCGAGGGGCCACCAGGGAAGCCCAGCAGCTAACAGCTCAGGAGCCCCAAAGATCAGCTGCAGAGACAAGCCTCCCCTCTGATCCAGACACTGAGCTGAAGAGAACGCTGACGCGAGGCACGGTCGAGGCGCCACTTCAATGCCATCCGTTCCGTTTCAGAAGTAAACGTGATGGAGAAATGAGGGGAAACAGGACTGTCACAAAAGCCAACAAGCCTTCTGCCTATATTACAGCAGCCAGCCCCGGAGGAACGAGAATGCCCGCTAGTTTAACTGTAAATGCAACGTCAACCTCGGCACCTTACTGCACGGCTCAGGCAGGAAGCAGCACCGAACGGAACCACCACCACACCGAGACGCTCCGGGCCAGGATGTGCTACGGGGCTACACGACTAAACCTTTACGCCCTTCAACTTCTAAAAATCTGATTCTGTCTCATCTACTACAGACTAACCCCCGAGCCTGGCTACTCTGGAATGCAGCTGCTCTGGAAGGAGACAGCTTAGAGAGGCACGGAGCTAAAGGATATCTTTCATTGTCTTTGTCATCCGTCAACTCGAACAGCTGCTGAGCACAATCCTTAATCAACTCGTCCAGAGCCTCCTCCATGGCCGACAGGTCGGACAGCTCCTCCCGCAGCTTCTTCTGTTGGGGCACTGCTCCGAAGTTGTTGAGATCGGATCCTCTTGGAAAGCAGGGGACAGGACCGCCATCGGCCGCGCAGGAGATGGCAGAAGGCACAGACTGGTTAGTGCCCTTCCCCACGGTTTCAGCAGCTGTTTCCCACGGACAGACACTTCGACTCCACCCCTGCCCTCCCCTTTTCTACATTACCGTTATTCTCCCTCCTATACATAGACTGGGCTTTCCCCACTTCCAGTCCCTGTCACAGGGACTTAACCAAACACAGCATAACCCCCCGGGAAGCTTAATGAAGAGGCAGGGAAAGCTAAGAGTCGACAGTGCCCAGTGTAAGCCCAGCTCTACTGCACGCAGCCTGATTTTGCCAAGTTATGATCTTTCAGGGCCTCAGTGTCTACATATGAAAAGCAAGTACTGGCTAAATGACAGTTCTTCCGCTAAATATTTCAGTCTGTATTCTTCCCTACTGTGCATATTATATCTAGTTCTATCTGAATATAATGATTATATTCATTGTTCTTAAAAAATTTATTTTCTTTATTATCGTCTAACCCAATACATGACTTGAGTAACAACTGCTCTTTTTTTCTTCAAGCTCAATGAAAATGAAGACAGGAAAGACTGCTACCGCTATCTTTTCCATGCTCACTTTCAACCTGATCCCCATTAGTGATTCAGAAAACAAACGATCTTAACCACCCCCGCACCCCCCGTGCTGTTTAATGTTATTTAGTAATGACGTTCCAATTAGACTTCAGTCTGCATTTCTGTACTATTGGAAAACACACCTCCTTTATAAACCCCTTTCCTCATAACCTTTAATTACTTAGAGTCATTCTGTGATCTTTGTTTGACTGCAAGGTCTCTCTGTACTGACACGCTGGGACTGCTTCTTACTGGATGCTTGGAGCTATCCCCCAGGCCACTTGCCTATTGTAAGCTAACAGCTTTCTTCTTATGGCATGTGCAGCCTCCCCCCGACCACCCCCGCATATACCCAAATCTACCGACATCTATACTGTAAGGTCCTCCTTCATGTGAACCTTCCCAATCACATGTCATCTTTAGCAATTGCCCTTTTGACATTAAGTCTACCCGTTTCCATTGCAGGCCATGAGTTTGTGTGATCCATCGCCTACCTGCATCACCATCACGGGGGGTGGGGGGGTGACACGCTCCTCCAGAACAGGATCCCAGCCCTGGGCTCTAAGTGTCTATCACACTATCTGCAAGAACCGCTGTGTTACAACCTCACCTGATTCCCCCTGCAACCTCACCTGATTCCCCCTGATATGAATCATCAATATGAACTGAAGAAATACTTTGAAAAGTGAGTATCTTAAAACCAATCATATTCCACTTAATTTATCCATAATATCCTACTGTCTCTGACTCTTAAGTAGGAAAAAATAGCTATATATTTTGTGGGACGTGAAAAGATTTTATAGAACGCCTTTTCTAACAGAAGTCAAGTTTTCTCTCGTGAAACACTGCTCATACCCAGTTTGTGTTAAGCATGGCCTTGTCACCTAACGAGAAGGGAAAAAGCCATGAAAAGTTTGAAGCCAACTCACATCCAGCGAATGTGGTTCTTCGATTTTTTTTCAACCAGGTCGATCCCATCTAAGACATTGGTGATGTCGTACACTCTTCGTTTCCGGACGCCCAGCTTCGTTGCGACCTTGTTCAGATCCAGAATCCCCCCAGGAGCGTTTCTGACAAGATCCATAAATTTCCGAGTTAAATACACCAGTGACACGTCAAACCGAGGCGTCTTCACTTTCAGAGTTTCTGGGAAACAAAACAAACCCATTTGTAAAATTTTAAATATCATTTCTTTCTAAATTCATCTTGATTAGTAAGCACAGACACCTACAGAAATTCTACTCACTGATCAAATCACAGCTAATTTTTATGAAAGATTTAGGAAATAATTTTATGAAATAGTTTCTCAAACTGGATAAAAATTAGCCCATCCCAGGTAACAAGGCTTTAGACCAAGCATGTCAAACTCGCGGCCCACAACGAATACTTTTGCGGCTGGGCCAATATAAGGGTATGTAAGAAACGTTTTAATAAAAATTTTGTAACTTAGTTTTTACAATATCCTGTTATGCATAATTATTAATAACGAACTACAACGTTTGCTAATGACTGCTGACTATAATCGTGCTGCATTCATTTCCCTTACACGCAGGCGCACCATCTCTCTCCACTAATACCAGCAGCGAGTATTTTAGCAGCCGATGGCCGTGTTATTAGTCTCGGGCTGACTGGAGGCAGTGTCTGAGGACTGGCCAGAACTGAGTGTTACAATCTCTTCATCTTTCCCAATTTGATACTGAAAAAGAGTTCTTATGGTTTGGTGCGCAGAGGAAATAAATTCACAAATCACGTAGCTGTTCTTGTGTGGAGTATATGAATTTTCTTTTTCTCTACTTCCACAGCGTACCACAGTCAGTGTGCCTCAAAAGAAATATTCACACCCCCTCCATCAGAAGTGCCCCATCCAGAACCGCTGCAATGGCACACGCAGCTTCAAGACCACGCGGTTATCCCAAGAAAGGCACCTATTTTATAACATGAATGTCTCCTTTGTGCAGTCCATTCCTACACTTGAGATTAAACAGGCTTAAAAAGAAATTTAAAAAAATTTTTTTAAGTGTAACTAGAAGAAAGTCACAATTCTACAACAAACCTTGGAAGATTACCAACTAGAAATTCTAACTTTAAGAAGCATACAGCTAGCCCTGGCCGGTTGTGGGTACAATCATTGAAAGGTTGTGGGTTTGATTCTCAGGGTGCGTACAAGAGGCAACTGATCAATGCTTCTCTCTCACATTGATGTTTCTCTATCTCAGTGGTTCTCAACCTTCTAACGCCGCGACCCTTTAACACAGCTCCTCATGTTGTGGTGACCCCCAATTTCATTGTTACAAGTTGAACATAATTAAAGCATAGTGACTAATCACAAAAACAATATGTAATTATATATGTATTTTCCGATGGTCTTAGGCAACCCCTGTGAAAGGGTCGTTCGACCCCCAAAGGGGTCGCCACCCACAGGTTGAGAACCGCTGCTCTATCTCCTCCTCTCCCTTCCTCTTTCTCTAAAATCAATAAAAAATAAACTAAAAGAAATAAAATAAAAACCATGCATTTAATTAAACTAGATTACTAGTGAGTCTAGCAAAGGACTCGACCACAACACCGTGAGGGAAGTACTAGCGAGGGATTTAGTTACTTGAGATGAAATGAAGCCGTAACTGGAGCGGGAGCTGGGAAGCCTCCAGCAGGGAGATGCTGGGAACAGAGAAGAGAGACGAGGAAGGGGTCCTCCACTCTGACGGGGACACACACGTCAAAGGACAGAGCAGCGTTTGAGGCCACGGCGCCGGGGCGCCCCGTCCGCAGGCAGCGGCTGTGGCAATGGCGAGCAGCGAGTGCTGGTGCGGGGACGCGAGGTGGCCTTCCAGGGCCTTGCCGCTCGTCCGTTCCCTCCTGCCTGCTCCTTCTAGGGCTGAGGTGGCTCATCAACTTAACACAAATAAGCAAAGCCACGTAAATGGGGAGCCGGGGCCTTCTCTGGAGTCGGGTGGAGTGACATCGCAGTCCCATTTCCGTCCTGGGAAAATCACACGGCAGCGGAGGGCTGAGCCTGGGAGCAGGTGGCTACGCAGGAGGCGGCCCACCTCAGGCTGGGAGCGTCTGAACTGCAGGCAGCGTAACACGGTGGTTAGACTGTGGGCTGCAGCCAGAGAGGCCCACGGGGGGCTGAGCCCTGACTGAGCAAGTTACCCTCTCTGGGCCTCGGTTTACTCGTCTATACAATACGAGTAACAGCCCACACCCATTTTGGAGGGTTGCTGTGACCATCCATGCAAAGAGCTAACACGGGCCAGGTCTGGTGAGAGCTCCATGAATGCCAGACAGTTCACGAGGCTGGTGGCGAGGGGCAGAGGGAGGAGCCCCTCCAGGGCAAAACCTGAGACCGACAACGGTGAGATGATGGCTGAGGGAGAAGTGAGGGCTGACGTTAAGGTTCCACATGGGCATCACGTATGCACCGTGGTCCAGCGAGAGCAGGGCCACATGAGGGGGCAGCGAGGAGTGGTCGCTCTCATAACCGTTTCCAGGACAGGGAGCGGGGTAACCGCAGTCCCTCCCCTTTCACTGACCGACTCTGCCCAGGGCAGGAGTCAAAGAAAGAGACAGGAAATCCCAGGAGCCAGGAGGGAAGGGCCGGCTCCTGCTTCCTGTCCCTGCTTCCTGTCCGTCGCTGGTTCTGCTGACGGCAGCGTGGACGCCCCCCAGCCTCTGGGGAAACGCAGCAGAGCGTACACGCACCGTGCAGAGCACTCAGCCCACACCCTCAGGAAACGCCAAGGGGTGCACTTCAGCGCACAAATAACACATCTTATTTCAGTCTCTCATCAACTCATGTCCACTTAAAAGTACCCACTTAAATCATAGTTCAAACTTCAAAACCTAAAACCCATTCAAGAATCAACTTACTTCTCATGGACACATACTGTACATTATCTTCTAAGTTAATCATTATTTTTGATGGCTGGAAAAAAGAAACAAAGAGAAATTTAACTCAGTAACTTAACAACAACAATGCACACGAACCGCATTTTACTGGATAATATAGAGATTTTCTTTTTCGCCCTGGGGTGGTAATTTGGGTGTGAGAGAACCAGTCCTTCTTCCAAATTACATCTAGTCTAGCTGTAATCACATCTGACCATGTCATAGATTCAAATCTCTAAAGTAGTTCAAGAGAGAAAGGGAGGAGACATGGGGAGGGAGAGAGAAAACATGGAAAGGAGAACATGTTAGTGAACGGCCATCCATTTGCTGGCTGCATCAGATACGGAGGAAGAAACACCGAAATGACCAGGACGCTCCCTGACTGCGGAAGGCTCCGTCGGGGTTCAGCGATGTCTAAGTCAGTAGGTGCTCCGTGTGAGTGGCTCCCACAGACGTGCCCGAGCTCTCCCAGGCAGCCGCGCGTTCCACCAGTCAATGCACACGGAGCAGCCCTTCTCCGCTGGGCAGCCCCGCGCTGCACAGCTAGCGGCGCTGGCATTCAGACGACCAAAGGCTCCTGTGAATTCCTGAACAACCAGGAAGTGGTGGCTCCACACCAGCGTGTCGCCGCTTTATCAGCTATTCAGAGACTGAGAGTTTACAGAAACCTTCCGACGCCGCCTGCTTAGAGGGAAGCACAGTGAGGTGGCTCCAGATGGGCTGTGACCAACCAGGGTTAGCTCCTGTCCGAGTGGAAAACCTGGCCTCCAACAGGCACAGCGAAGCGGAGGTAAAGTGAGTTCTACGAGGTGCTCCCCGAGAAGGGTCAACAGGCTACCGTGGATGCACCCCGAGGGACTCAGGGTTCCCAGGGAAGGGCATGCTAGCACCAGGCTCAACATGGAAGAACATGAAAGCACACTAAGGGGGTTAGACTTTCTGTTTTAACCCGTGGCGACTCACCACAGATTTCTGAACAATAATATGGCATATGCAAGCTCACAGTTTGGGAACGTAAGTCCAGGAGAAAAAGCAAAAAGACTGGGGCCTGGGGAAGCCTGAAGGTGAGCAGCTACAAAGCTCTTTGTTGATGAGTTACAAATCCTGGGCACCAGGGCTTCCATATTGTCTATGACATGATGACCGCCCCTACTAACAAGTTAACTTAATATGGAGCAATTCCCTGAAAAGAGAATTGTTGGGGTCCAGCCCCAGCAGATCCAGGGGTTCCCAAAGGTGTGGACGGAGTCGGCAAAGAATGAATGACACAGGCAGCGTTCAGGTGATCATCATAGCCAGGTTCTCTAGCCAGGTTCTGTTGTTTATTGTCTTGTTACATCTGTATTTATACCAGTTGATTTTAATCCTGTCAATTTCTATTGCAAAGGTTAGGGCATTTCTTATCTCCATTCCAGGTGTAAAGATTATGTAGCTTAAGCGTGATTGTTTGTAGTTAAAGTGATTAACTACCCGCCTGGCACTTAGTTAAGGGGTTTTATCCCCTCCCTAACTTCAGGGAAAAATCCCTACCCGGGAAACAACCTTTCTCGGAGAGGTGACCATGGTTAAAACACACAGCGCTAAGGGGAGCAAACATATTAAGAACCGTATGCCATATACGCCAGGTCCCTTGAAACATATGCTGTGCAGGTGTTTCTTTCCTGCAGCGACTGTGTCAAGCAGCAAGGATGGACCGGCTTCTGGCAGAGAATTATGCTATAAAATTAACTGCGTGTCAGGATTTAAAGAAAAATGTAGTCCTGCTGGGGTGTGCGGAATCCATCCTCATCACGTCACTTAGCCCCAGATCACCGCATGCACTCACCCTGGAGAGACTGGTGCACTGTACACCCTGAAAGGCCCTTGTAAGGCGTCACCTAGGAAAATGGTGACAAGGTGGAGTGGAGAGGGGCTGCCACTTGAGCTGAGGGTAACAGAGGCCCCTCAGGGTCACCCGTTTCCTTTTTATTCTGAAACATCTCAGCCTCAGAGAAGGTGCAGCAACGGTGCGAGAACTGCCACCTCCCGCCTCGGCCAGTGTTGCTCAGGGGACAGAGCGTCAGCTCAACACTGAATGGTCGAGGGCTCAATTCCCAGTTAAGGGCATGTACTTGGGTTGCAGGTTCGATTCCTGGCTCCAGTCCAGGTCTCTCTCACAACAATGTCTCTCTCTCTCCCCCCCTAAAAATCAAAGGTGAGGACTGACCCAAAAAAAGAAAAAAAAAAAGTCACATCCCTTTCACCCAAATATTCACTTTTTTACATGACTTTATCATGTTTTGTCCCATACACACACATGCTTTTTTCTCGGAATCATTCATGCATGAAGAATTCCGTGTGGAGCTCGGGGCATTCCCGTACACAACCACAGTGTAATTACCGACAAGTCTGTTCAAGACTAAGCCGTCTTGGAAAAGAGCCAGCGGAACCTGGACTCTGAGGGCACTGGCTGCGCCGCGGGAGGAGCACGCTGCGGGCAGCTGGAGCGGGCACCCTGGCTGTGCTGAGCCTCAGCACCCGTCACTGCAGCGGTGTGGACAGCAGATGGTCACGGTCACCTAACCAGGAGGCTGCCGTGCACAGGGTGGACGGTGGCACCTGGCTGTCCCTTGCAGTTCATAGTCAAATGTATTGAGGAAAGACCTGGCAAACAAACAGGTAGTGGCTTTAACAATACTGAGCGTCTCCAGAAGCTAAAAATTCATGACTTCTGAGAAAGACCGAATCTAAGGCGCTGCCAGGGGCACAGCCAAAAGAGGGAGGCGCGGGCACGCCCGCACGCTTCTGGGTAACGCCCCAGCACATCTGCCACCCTCAGGTCCTGGAGAGAGTGCCAGGGGAGCCGCACAGACCACCCCCACCCCAAGCCCAAGATAGAGAGTTTGTCTCGAAGAAATCTGTGGGCAGGACGCTGGTCTACTGTGTAAACCACAAGTTTCAGTTTCTGATAGAACTGTATCATCCACCACACGGCCAGCGTGGACGCCAAAGGACACCCAGATTCTGACGGGAGGAGGCTGAAAACCGCTCAGCTGCAGGGAGACTCAGGGCAGCACCAAGAGCCCAGAGGTGGAGCAGGGAGACTTACCCCCAGGCCCTGAGACCTGATCAAGAAATCGCCCCCAGTGACCAGGCGGGGATCAGGAATCGCTCGGGCCGATCCCGCCCTGCGACTCCCACCTTCTGCCTCACGAACAGGACGTCTAGAGCAGCCGTCCTGTCTGGTGTGCGGGTCAGATGCCTCGTGACTTGCGTCCCACAGGCCGAAGGATCTGGAGGAACCACACCCGAGAGCGAGATTCTTTTTTTTTTTTTTAATATATTTTATTGATTTTTTACAGAGAGGAAGGGAGAGGGATAGAGAGGTAGAAACATCGATGAGAGAGAAACACCGATCAGCTGCCTCCTGCACACTCCCCACTGGGGATGTGCCCGCAACCAAGGTACATGCCCTGACTGGAATTGAAGCTGGGACACTTGAGTCCACAGGCTGATGCTCTATCCACTGAGCCAAACTGGCTAGGGTGAGAGCGTGGTTCTTACTGTGCTTCTGTGAGTATGGAACCTGTTCTGTTTTACCTGTCCAGTGTCTTCAGAAGGCAGTCCTCGAAGGAATGCTCCCTCTAATCTCTATGGAACCTGCCCAAGTGCCACCATACACGTTGCTTCTTCTAGCCCTGGCAACCCACCGCTGGGGGGGCAGCATCCAGGTTCCTACTCTTTGAAGCAAGTCCCACTGAGAGGGGACTCCCAGGTAACGCCCCGAGGGGAGACCAAGGGGGAGCCCAGCAGCAGTCACACCTCACGAATGGACTACCTAAGACACTGTCCCTCCCAGCCTGTGAGATCCTAGGTGGGAAATGAACGCAGGAGGCAGAGGCCTCCAATCGGAAAGTCACTAAGGATGACCGTGCACACAGCTCTCCGGGAACCGCCCGTCCTGGTGGGCAAGCCTGCCCATTCCACGCTCTTTTACTACGGCCCAAGCCCCACAGCTAAAGACCTACACTTCTAAATCTGAGATCTCAAAGAAGAAAAAAATAAATAAAAGGTGAGTTTTAAGGGCTAAAATCTTAGACACTGCCTCTAAATTGGTTAAAAATTTCTTTATACAGATTTTTCTTTGTACCAATTGCCTGTTTGGGGAATAATGTCCCTTTAAGAGCCCTCTGAAAAGAAACCTTTCTCCAAGGCAACTGTATGCTCCTCCCTCATTTAAATTTTCCTTATTTTTCAATGTGTGGACCAGGTTCCACCTCCAACGACACTGTTTTCTCCCTTCTCAAAATTCCAGTGTTCAAGCCACTTACCGGAGCACATCAAACAGCCAGATCCATCACTAACCTTTGCATAGCAATACGCTTCTATGTGTTCAATTATTAAATGCTTCCGATCATCAGCCAGCTAAAAAGCACTGAGATAGGTGTGTGGATCAGCATCTTACAGGCAGGAAAACAAACACTCACACATCAGATATTTGCCATTTACAGAGTACCTGCTGCATTCACTCAATGGCTATTTACCAAGCCTTTTTGTGAGAGGCACGCATGTGCTGGACACGTAACCACCCCCAGGGCCCTGCGAGCCACACATTGCAAAGGGGGCGAGTAAGCCCCGGTGCGTGGGGGGCGCCCAGGAGCGGCGCTAACCCAGTGCTGAGCCGTCAGGGGAGCCTTCAGACAAGTGACCTGCAAGTCTAGACCCGAAGAACCGTGGGACATAACAAGAAAAAGTGTGCTAGGAAGAACGGCTTTTTTGGAAGGTGGACTGTGGCCCTGTAAGGGTCCTAAAGAAGAAGGAGATGTATGGAAAAAGGGGGGCCACACAGGCAGGAAAGCTGGTTAGGAAGGCGATGCAAGGACCTTGAAAATAGATGAAAGAGGCAAGTACTGGTGATTCCTTCTCATTAGGCTGGAAGGTGGAGGGACGCAGTTTGGAAAAGGCAAGGGCGCTGCTCAGGTTAGGCGCGTGGGCAACACGGCGAGCGTGTTACCGTTTACCTATTAGATAGGACATAGCAAACTTGCTGCTTGCTTAGCAAGAAGATAATGAGTTCAATTTCAGATAGAGGAGTTTCCAATCCACGTGGAGATCTCCAGGAGACAGCTGAAAAGCTGTGAGCTGGGTTTGTAGACCTGGGAGTTACTACGACACGGAAACGGAAATGAACAGCGGGTGAGAACATCTAAGACCGCGAGGGGTGTGCACACCTTCTGATATTAATGCAAAATCAGGTGGTTTTTCCACAGTGAGAGCGCAGAGCTTTCATCATCGGCTCAAAGACGAAGACCACCAACACGGAGGGTAACACGTCCTGAGCTGGTGGCGAATGACTTCCCGCGTGAAGAGTGGAAGGGAGGCTGGAAGGCAGCCCTGAGTGACACCCACACGGAAGGGAGAGGAAGGGGAGTCGGCAGAGGAGCACAGGTGAGACCAGTGGGGTAGACGGGCACCAGCGATGCGGTGGTAAAGAAACCATTCAGCAGCGAGAGCTTCCAACAGAAACAAGCGGCCAGTCCTACCAGAGCCGCAGAGACACGGGGCGCAGCGTCCCCCGGAGCGGAGCTAACAACGCTGTTCCTGGGTGAGAACAGCCTGAGCGCTGGGCGGGGGGCAGAGGGCGCCCGCAGCGGGTGAGGGTGGTAAGGAGAGATGAGCGAGTGGGCACGGTGAATGCAAACAACTCTTTTCCAGAAAGTGTGGCTATGAAGGGGAAGCGATGCAGACGATGGGAGGGTATGTCGAAGCGTGGGAAGGATCTCTAAAGATGCAGCCAAGAGTTTACCGTCTGGAATCAGACACAGCGAGGTCCAACCCAGGTTTTCCTACCTACTGCCTTCCCCGGGCAGCCAGCCACCTCCTGGTCTATTCTGGCGACTGCAAGACAAGAGTAACAACCTCTTAGGGCCGCTGTGAGGAGCTAAGTAAGACCGTGTCATTCGACTACTTTCGTGCATCGAGTCCCCCTGGGGACTGGGCACAGAGGCAGTTATGGGAGGAAATCAGCAGAGAAATAGAAAACACGGGAGAAATGGGAAATGCAGGATTCATCCCCACCCCGATGACCAAGGAGGAGGAAACACATCGCATCAAGTCTAGAGCAAGAATAAAGGGAATCAACCTTTTGCAGGAAAGGAGCCCATTTTTCTCCGCCGGGGAGCAGAGGGACCAGGGTGCAGAGGAGACCGGGGAGCAGAGGGGACGGGGGAGCAGAGGGGACCAGGGTGCAGAGGGGCCGGGGAGCAGAAGGGACCGGGGAGCAGAGGGACCGGGGCGCAGAGGGGACCGGGGAGCAGAGGGGACCAGGGTGCAGAGGGACTGGGGAGCAGAGGGGATGGGGTGCAGAGGGACCTGGGAGCAGAGGGTACCGGGGTGCAGAGGGGACCGGGGTGCAGAGAAACCGGGGTGCAGAGGGGACGAGGTGCAGAGGGGACCGGGGTGCAGAGGGACCAGGGAGCAGAGGGGACCGGGGTGCAGAGGGGACCGGGAGCAGAGGGGACGGGGTGCAGAGGGGACCGGGGTGCAGAGGGGACCGGGAGCAGAGGGGATGGGGTGCAGAG